ATTTTCCTTGATAGTTTTTACAGCCTTCCAAATATAGAACTGCATACTTGGTAGACGCTAGTCTATAAGGTCCTGCATTCATGTATGTAATGAAGGAGGGCCATGTTTCTAAGGCTGAGTCTGACTTAATTGTCCCTTTGATCAATTGGCTGTGCTGTGTTAGTTTTCTGCAAGAATTTCATCCCAGATTTTTAGAAACCATTGATTTACAGTGTATCCCATTTATGTTTCCCACTATCCAGCTATAGGCCTTCTTCCTGCCACTAGTAATAGCACAGTTAGACCTTGACATAAGAGCTGCTTTTTGTGTCATTAAAAACAGAAAGAAGAACCAATAATGGGATGCCATGAATGGTTTCTTTTATTTGGAAAATATAATTAAAAATGGCTGGCCAAATTCCTGCACATGTTCACAAGATGGCCATGTATGGGATAAGCACTGTTGTGCTGGGAACCTCTGGAACAATTTGGAGAAAAAACATGTTAATATGATTTAATTCCACAAATGTCTTATGCCAGCTATGTATTAATTTTAAACGTGTTTCTCTACTTGCTGAAACAATAGAATTAAGTGGATTCTTTTCCCAGACTGTCTTCTGCTTTGTATCTGTAATCTGTTCCGCAATATCATTCTCCCAAACTATTTGCAATTCTCCTATTGTTCCAGCATGATGTGATATTAATGGGTCCTATGAGAGACGCCACCTTTAAGCCTGCCTCGCGTGCTAATGAATGCATTTTTGGTGAGGGAGAGGGATCAGACTGCCTTGTTCTATCGTAGTGGTTGTGAGTGGGGCTAAAATGAGTAAGATTCATCTCTCGCTCTGCCTACTTCGCCTCTGGACCCACCACAACTGGTAGCGGCCACCGAGACGATTCCCAGATGGGAAGCGGGTCCTCCTCTGGGAGGGGCTTCCCAGTGCTGAAGTATAGGACTGTGGCCTGAGAGCCCCCAGACCGACAGTCTCTGCTATTTAAAGAAATGAATCCCACTCCCCTAATAAAATGGGTGGAAACCCTTTATCACAAGGTTCTTTCGCACAAGTCTCTCTGATAGGAACGGACCCTTTCCCCGTCACCTGCCTCCCGCAGCAAATTCGCCAACTCCTGGGCTGCCTCGCTCGGCGAAGGACTTGCTGCAAGGTCACAGAAGTGCTCCGTGATTCTGACAAGTGCCCTCGCTGACTATGAGGGATGTGGGGAAGGGAAATGGCTCTTTCCCTTCTGCCTGCAATTCCCCCGCTATGCAGGGGTTCCAGGAAAGAAGAGCAGTTAATTAGGGATGTGCATTAGCCTCCTAGAGGAGACGCTTAATGGCCGAATCTTCAGTCCGATGAAGCGCAAATTGAATGTTTTGCTACGTATTACAAAGTGGCGTTTAACACAAGCACAAAAGCAGAACCGCTCTGTTTCATGGTTGTTCCCGAGAAGGAACATTAGCATATTTCCTTGTCCACCTGCACATGTATTTAACCAATGGGTTTTTCAGATTTGGCTCCAAATTCACGATGCACATGCTCTTTATATTTGTAGTGAAAGGAAATGATCAATGGAACTCCAGCAGCGCCTGGCAGGAGACCGCGCACAGTGTCATGCAATGCAGAGAGACTGTTCCATAGGCAGAGATCCCGATTAGGCAAGCCAGGCCAAGGAGAACGGACCCCTTGGCCAGTCAAAGCTCCGTCCCAGTCTGGCCCAGCGAGCTCCTCCCCACTGCCACCCCCTTTCCTCTGCCCCAGCGCTCAGAGGAGAAAGGGCTGCTCTCCAATCTTCTGCAGATTGGGAATCGGTCCTTCCCCTTCTCCTGACGCCAGGGAAAAGCTAGTCTGCTGCAGATGGGGGCAAGCTTTTTCCCGAGGGTTTTTGTTTGAGTGCCTCTAGCACTGGCAAGAGCGCAGGGCAAGGCAGCAGGTGAGCAGCTTCCCAGAGTGCCCACTTTCGGCCGCTGTCATTCCCATCCTGCTCAGCACTTCTGCAGTATCCTCTGGGATACCAGTGGGGGGACTAAAAGGAGAAGGGGGAGTGGTGCATTAGCCCCCCCCCCCACCGTGCCCAGGTTTTTATTCTAAGCTACTCCGGGCCCAAAGTATCTTCCTAACCCACCCAGTGTCATTTCCCCAGTGAAAATTATTTGCTAGGACTGGAAAGTGGATTATCAGGGATAACAAGATGGAAGAATGATTGGAGTTGGGTCATTACCAGCTGACCAAGCCCATTATCCTAAAAGGAGAGTTTTTTGACCAGCAAATATTATGAATGAAGAGCTTATCTGTTCTGGAATCCTTTCCTTTCCTTCACACAAGATTGAGGAAAAACTGGAGCAAGATTTTCTTGACAATCGTAGTTTTACATTTTGAACCCGTAGATGTTTGGGGTGGTTTGATCTGACCCAGGATGAAACTCCGCCCCATGACAGAGAGATCAGGAAGAACATGGGTGGCAACCAGGAATTACCTACATAGTCAGCTCCAGACGGTAGCTGAATCTATGCTGTTGAGCAGTGCCAGACTGTGGCACGGGGAAGTGGCGGTCACGTGCCTGTATGAGCAGCAATGAAAGGGCTTCTCCGCTGTACATACCAGTTGCCCAGGTGTTGTGGTTTGCAAAGACATGCTCTTGCATTTTCTAGATGTTGACTATGAGTTCTGGAATAATTTTGTGAGGTGACCACAAGGATGATGAGTCTAATAACCCTCTGAGGAAAGAAAGCATCACTACTTCCATCTGTGCCAGGCAAGGATTCCTGTGGGGGAGGTGCTGGTTGAAGGTGGGACTGGACCCCAGTCAGTATCAATTGGCATCACACAGATCTTGGAGCACATTAAGTTAATTAGATCCCAGTGCAAGTAGAAGCTAAACAGTTGCCAGGAAGACTTGCTTGCTTGTGGCACAGACAGAGAGCACTGAAAAGCCGCTGGCTGAGAAAGGCTGGCACAGAGCCTTGATCCTTCCGCATCTGAAGCGTGCTCGGCAGGGACCCCCTCCTCCGTCCCAGCATGCATATCCATGATGAGTCTCTCAGTCCCTGCCAAAGCAGCCTCAGAACTGAGGGGAAACCTCAGTATTGATGGGGAAACCAACACAGGGCTTGTGGGTGGCTTGTCTGAATGCACAGTTGACCACTGGAAGAGCTGCAGTTAAGGTACGCAACCTCTCTTTCTCTTTTGTGGTCTCCGTGAACCACACACAGAGAGGTTGGTGGAGAGCTGACCTTCCAGAGGTGCAGCCACCGTCGATTACAGCACGGCCAACAAAATGCCAGTTAGCTCTGTCAGGGATGCTTAGTAAGTAGCGACTGACAAAGGCCTACGGTCATGACCAGAGAACGTTCCGGAACGCCAGCCATGTGGCCCAATGGATCCAAGAGCAGAAGACCTGCCCTGCCAATCCACAGGCCAGCTTGATGGTTCAAGCCAGCCAGGAGCAGAACCTCTGAGGTGTCGTGGGCAATTCCTGCCACTTACTCGCATTGCAAAGGAGGTGCCTTGAGGCTATTCCTTCCATTCGTAGACAGCCACACAAGGCGTGGAGAGTAGATTCCTCCGGGAGAGAAAAGCAAAGGAAAATGCTGTCAGACCATGGTCCTGAGGGGGAGGGATGTCAGAGGCAGAAAGTCAGGCCAGGAAGGAATGCTGCTTGTGTCACAATGGGGCGTCAGAGAGGTGGGCCTGGGAACAAAGCTCCACATTCAATCAGGGAAATTGCCTCGACGAAAGCCGCTTTCCAGGCGAACAAGCCCGTTACCACCTCCTCAAACAGCCACAGTTCAAGACCTGCCACGTGCCAGAGAGGCTTCATGCCTGTGCCAGGGCAACCTGGTGGGGCAAGATTGGCTGGTTGTGAACACGGCACTTGTTTATTTGTAAGACTACAAGCAGGGGGTGCTGCTAAAAGGACTCTTAAGGAAGACAACAAGCCTTTTCAGAAATTATGGAACTTGGCGCAACAGGCACTGAACCAGGCCTAACCTACAATAGTCTGTAAAAGCACAGAAAGGCCTCCACACATGGGCAGAGGTGCTCTGTGTTGCTGGTTTGCATGTGATGCTGAGGACGCATTGAACCAGGATCAGAGACTGAGTTGAAGATTGCTTTCCCCTTTGGTCCGACGAGAGAATTTAGACAATCTTGGACAATTTTTAATTGGAATCCTGGCTATTGCCGTCTGCTTCTCCTTTGTTTTCTTCTCTCAAAATGAAGAGGTGAAGCCTTTCTGTTTTCTGCCACAGCGGCATAATGGCAAAAAAAGATTCTAAAGGCAATGCACCCTTAGTTGACTCTAGACATTGCAAGCAAAACAGATGTGGGAATGGCTGGAAGACAGTAGGAAGGAAGAAAGGAAACTTAGATCTCCACATATTCTGATTTTCCGAATGGAGCGACAAAAAAGTAGCCGCTTGCTTCCCTGTGAGGCGGGGATTGCCGCAGAGTGAAACACCTTTCGGTTACACAGCTCTGCCATTTTGATCCATAGGAAGCAAGTGGATATAAGTGCAGGGAATCCATAACTGGATCTCCTGGGTATGGCAAATGTGAGTTGGGATTGCGGCATAGTACGAGGAGAGGGATTTTTTCTTCCCCATGCACCATTACTCTAGCTCCACCCTTTCTGAAGCATGTAAGCAGAAAATATTCTACCACCTCACATACTGTGCTGGCTTATAATTTAGCCCCCTGCAGCTCCCACTCTTCCTTCCTTCCTTCCTTCCTTCCTTCCTTCCTTCCTTCCTTTGCAGTCTTTATGTAGTTTGAGCCTGCAAAGGGCTACAATAAATTATTTTAGAGCTAGAATCTAGGATGTTTTGCAACGGGGTCTGTATCTCAGCCCCACTCTGCATGAACAAGATCTTTGCCTATCTTCAGGTGTGTATTTTTCTGTCTTTTTTCTTCTTTTGCTTTGATGTTTAGTATTTTCTACTTAGCAAATCAACCAGGTTGTTGCACAAGTGGCCACTCCATTTTTTGCCTGAAGTTCTCAATGTGTTGTTGTTCTTTCATCAGGATGTTGCATCATGTTTAGAAAAAAACAGAAGAAGTGGCCAAGAATTATATGCAGCTTTGTGCAAGGACCATGCTGAGGTAAGGAGCCAGATTCCCCTCTCACTAGGAACAACTACCCCGGTCAGCCATGGTGTTCCACCGCCACACACATGCCCACAGTAAAGGTCTAACCACAGGGCATGTTGACACTGGCAGTTTTGTTTTCCAGCTGTTACAAATGCAGTTTACAAGGTGCTCTTTGTGTTGTTGTTGTGAAGTTAAGAGCTGAGCCGGAAGGGGCATGAACTCGTGTCAGCGCTGCCCTTCGCTTGGAGTTGGGCGTGCAACTGCCCAGCCACGGCTGCAGTCGTGATGCGGTTTTGGTTGTCCTCTTTCACGCCAGCACTCAGGATCCACAGCACTTGGGAGCCAGTGGGACCAGTTGCAAAAGGTGTCCTTAAAGCCATTTGGGGTTAAGAGAAACCATTCCTTGCAGGAAAGACATTTCTCTCCGTTGCTGCTATGATATATTTTTCTGTGGCAACTTTCACATGGTACGTGTTGGGCAAGAGGGCTGCTGTTGTTCTTGGCATGTGCTCCCGGGTCACACCGATCTGGGCTCTGAGTCTAAGAATGATGCGGAGGAGGGTGAGTGGGCCTGGGAAAGCCCCCCCCCCCAACTTTTTGATGAGAGAAGTAGAGATGCTTATCTCAAGGCCACCTTGCCAAAGTGCTCCGGCTGGCTCTGGGAATAACCGAGATGTACAGCTGTTGGGTGGGGCATGGGAGAAGTCACCCCTATGCTCAGGCAGATGAAGCTGGCATGACTCTTGGCCCCTAGAAGGTTACCACACACAGAAAGGGTGTGCTCCCTTCCCCATGGGCCCCCTCGGCGGGATTGGACCCAGACGGACTCAGAAGGAGGGTCTCTGGAAATAGTTGCTTGGACTGGGTTCAGCAAACCACTCACAGATACAGTCTGTGGGGACTGAGTGCATTGGGCATGCTTTGGTGAACACAGGGATTTTGCAAAAGAACTGCCTGTTGCCTTGAATGCACAAAGGGAGGAAGCCCGGCTCACAACGATATGCTGAGTTCACTGAGCAAGCTCTTTCTTCATGGGCTGGGCTGGGCTGGGCTGGGCTGGGCTGAGCAACCCATGTAGGATCTTCAACAAGGTGTTTCTGCAAGCCTCAGGATTGCCCCCAGCGCACTGACGCCTCTACTCCCAGGGGCTCTGTTCCGATTGCTGGCCTGGGAGCATCGGCCACCTGAACTTCGTATTAGTGGGAATGGTGCATATACAGACGGTGGTGCGAAGTCGCGTCTCCATTTCTCAGGAACTACAAGGAGGAGATGGCGCTGCCAGCTCCCCTTAAGGAAGTCAGCACCCACTTTGCCCGTGCCATGACTTTGAGGGAGAAAGGGGATCGCAGGGGAGAGGCCTGCCTGTGGGAGGCGGCATGCTCCCTTCCCAGGGTGGTCCTGCGTTGCGTGCATAGCAGCTCCTCCCCTGCTTCTGGGAGCTCGAGTCCCTCTGGCCAGCGGGCTCCTTCTCCTGGGCTTTGCGCGACTGGGTGAAATGGCCACTTGTGGAAGAAGCATTGCAGTGTGGGGCTGCGGCGTGACTGCCCAGGTCTCCCCCCACAGAAGCTCCTGTGTGCGCGCAGTAAAGCAGCAGCAGCCTGGTCAGAGGCGGAAGAGCGGCTCTTCGGGAGAGGAGACTGTGGGAGCATGGCTCGGGCCCCTTCTGCCTCCAGGTGGGTTCTGGATGGCTACGAAGGCCCTGCCCGGATGAGGAAGAGGATTCGGCTCAACATCCCCCATCAGGTATTGGGGCCGTTCTGGGGCCAGGTAACATGGTTCTGTGGCAAAGGGGGGAAAACGGTTCTCTCCTCTTTCTGCTGCACACATTTCACCAAGAACAGCCTTCCAAACGCTTCCGTGAGGTGGCTGTTCTCCATGGCACTTTGGCACCTCCTCCTTTGGGGGAGGCACAGATCGCCAGAAGCTTGAAAAAGTTGCATGGCACCTAATTAGAGGATAACTATCTTAGCTTAATAATCTTTGCTCATTAGGCAGAAAAAAATGCTCGGTCTCCATTCCTCCACGCTCTAGTTCCTTCGTGTTTCTGTCATGGTTTGCTTATAGCACAGTTTGCTATTACCTCTCAGCTGCACATCTGTGCTGCCCTCAAAGCACTAGAAAATGCCCAGGCCTTTGCACTGGCTCCTCAGCCATCTTGTTCGATTTGTATAAGACCGAAATGTCACATCTGTGCGCATTGCTAAGTAGGAGTGGTGGGCTGCTGCTGCTGTGGCTGTGGCAGCGGGGGAAGTTCATGCGATGCCTGGGTGAGAGGACTGCCGTCACTTGAAAACCTTCATGTTTGAGATGCTTTGGCAAGTAGAGACAGAAGGACAAAGGCACGAAGCGAGCAAGTAAAATGTGACGCCAGAAGAAGATACAAAGAAGGAAAGGGAAATGATCATGTGAATGAGAGACAGGGGTATTTGAGCTTCCCAAATTCTTCATACCTCAAAGCTTTGTTAGCTCAGTCCAGATTTCGTTCTGTTTTTGCAAGCTATACTTGTGTTTGTTCAGATGTTTTGAACAAGAGGGCTGCATTTTTCCAACAGTACATGCTTGATTCTTTGGCTAAATGATGAAAATGCATATTCCTAAAGGCTCGTTTCAAAATGCACTAGTATGTATACGCATAGGCATATGCATTTCAGAAAAAGTCACTTCCATTTGCATTCAGGGTTGCGAATGGGATGAGTTTGAATGATTTGCGAATGGATATAACATTCTAGTACAACCCTACATGTAGCATAGAGAGATTAAAAGTAGGGGCAGCACAGAGGTTTATGTGATATAATTCCCTGTCACTGCCTTAGGTGGCTTTAAAAAGGGATTAGAAACATTCTTGGGGTGTAAGTCCATCCATGGATACTAGTCACTATGGGAATTCCGTGTCCACGGTGGCATCCTTTCAGATAAAACTCCTTTGGACAAAGAATGGGAGAGAGGAAAGATAGGAAGAGAAGTACCGCTGCTATTTGACCGTAAGTCAAGCACCATACTGCTTATGAGTCAAACATTGGTCCAATTATGCCAGCATTATGAACACTGCCTAGCAATGTCTCTTAAGGGGCTGCAGCCCTGCCAGGAGATGCTAAAAACAGGACTTGAAGCTTTACACATGCAAAGCACGTGTTCCAGTGCTGAGCCAAGGAGACACCCCCACACTCTGTATCATGGGGAACTTCTGGATGAAGAACATTTGCTCATGGAAGGGATGCTCTGCGTAGTCCTCCATTCTGGTGCAGCTGTGTGTTTATCTTCTCATGTTTTCCATTCCAGTCCCATAATTTATCTTCTCAGGAACTTCAGACACACAAGAGTGGATCTGGTCTAGCTCCTGAGGAAAATCAAGGTAATGTTCCAGGGCAAACTGTGCTGTTGGATAACTCTAGTGAGCTAAATGAAGCAGCTAAGATGTTTCCAGCTCTGAAACATCCCTATGGCATACGAGCACCTTCCAAACAGTTTATCAGGCCATTATGTTCTTTATTGTTCAGGCAGATACGCTACTTTTATTCAGACATCCAAGAGGTGAACATACAGTGCGGAAGCATCAAGGAGTGTGCAATAACATCATGCAGTTCAGCAGTAAAACTGCGCACTCTGCTGAGCATTGCGGACCACATCTGGATGGGTCAAACTTCTGGAAAAGGATACCCGCGTGCCAGAAAATGGGCACCTGCCAGTGACAGCTGGGATTGCATTCTGGAGGGTGGTGCTGCAACATGGCACGGATAAGCAACTCATAGGAGCTGCAGGCATCAGCGGTGCCCTCAGAGCCCTTTCTTGGTGCCTGGCCAGGGTCAGCTGGGTGGCTGCAGCTGCTGTGGTCTTCATTTCCCACGGATGGCTCCGGGCCACACATGGGACTCGGAAACCTCCTTGGGATGGAAAGATGGCCAATGATTTCCTCTGCAGAATGTCCAGCCACCTAACGAGCTGGCAGTTAACGTGAGGCAATTTCCTCAGGGTGATGCCAATCCTAGTAGCTTAAAAGCTGGGAGAAATCATGGCTGAACTTCTCAGTAACATGTGTGAGAGGAGAATTCCTGGAAAGGGGCTGCAGATGATGTTGGCTGCAGATGACGTCTCACATGGATGTGCTTGTAATGCCTTGTGTGCTCCAAGGCACAGCAGACTGCTGTTTGCGACTTAATTGCTTGAAAAATGACACTACCCTTTTTCCTGAAGCAGAAGAACCGATCCCAAATGGAGGAGAACAAGGGATGGATTCTGGCCAGCTGACTTTCTTTCCTGCCCTTCATGAAAGTTTTAATTCAGAAGAGTTTTTGGAAGTGTGCACAGAAAGAAGAATCGTCCTGCAGGAGTTTGCTCAGGGTGAAAAGGTATGATGGATGGATCCTGGGAGTCTTGGTTTCGCACAGTGTAATTGGGCCAACATCCATTCTCTTGGGATGCCATCTAGAGAAACAGTTTATCATGATTTAAAATTATTGGGTCCGAGACTATAAATGGAAAATTCAGTGTTATGGGGAAGGGCAGAAGCTTAGCAGTGTCTCTGATCAGCTGGTTTTCTGTGCCCAAAGCATGGATGTTGTGTTTGGTTGTGAGTCCCATTTTCAGCATGCGGTACCACAATCAAAAGTAGTACAGCTCAGGAAACACTTGGCCACATGCTCAGCTCTGGCTGTTAATTCTGCATTCCCACAATGCATCCCTGTGCCACCCAGACTGGAGGCACTTATCGTGTGCAGAGCATATCTGGGAAGCCTGTGGCAACTTCCACGGCACGGCCAGGCTGCCTGCAGCGTGCAGCCTCGATGCCTATGACATGTGGAAAGGGAAGGACAGAAATGACAATATGTTGGCAAGGGAATGAGTGGCGAGGGACTGCTTGGCTCCAGCAAAATAAAACCTAGAAAGGCAATCCATAGATCCTCAACAACATTGCTCCAGAAAAAGACCTGGGTTTTCAACCCCTGCCATCAATTCGTAGCCCTTCTATATTCTTCCACCACGCCTGCCATCCTTTTCTTAACAGAAAGATATATAAAAGGAGGAAAGGATGGAAGGCCTGCACAGTGGCTTTTTAATAGGACTGTTCCCCTCAGAGGCATCCCGAGCTGATGGCGATGCTCAGGTAGTGCCTGGGAGGCAGATAACACAAGGAACATTGGAGGATGCGCACGAAGCAATTGCGCCAGTACGGCTGACTGTCTTTCTGCAGATCAAACGCAGAGATTCGGTGGTGATCGTTCAGGAGCAGGCGTCCTCGGAAGGGGTGCTTCTCTTCGGCCAGAAGCATTTTTACCTCTGCAGCCATTTCACGCTGTCCCACCTGGGAGAGGTCTATTGCACGAGGCACTGCTTATCCCGGTGAGTCATTTCCTTCCCCAGAGAAGCTCTTCAGTCTATGTGGCCACTTCATAATGTTGGGGAACCCTAAGATGGTTGACTGGGCAGAACATGTGCGTAAATATGGACTTTTCATAGTGTGATGATCGCCAGCCATTTCTGTGCCAAGGAGGTGTGGGGAGAAACCCAAGGGATTCTCTAGGGGGTGATACCTAGCAGCCTAGTGAAATGGGATCTCGACGGGGACTCTTCCTGAGAAGGCAAATCTTCTGATATGAGGAGGCTTAACTTGGCATCCTGTTCCAGCGGGGGCTGGGTCTCCTAGGCCCCTTCCAACTCTGCCCTGCCTTGATTCTGCGAAGTGCATTTCCTTCAGGAGAAGAGGCCGGGGGCCGGGCAGGGGACCTTTCTTGCCTTCTGCCTAGCAACATCTCTGCCTGCATGTGACCGTGCATGGAGGAAGAGTGGGGAAGAGGGGAAGCTAGCGGCTCTTGGCTAATGCACCGTTCTCGTGGCTTCTCCTAGCATCAGCGACTCGTTCATCCATGGCTTGTGCCACAAAGACCAGGCTGTGGGACAGCCGGCGTGTTCCCGCTATGCCTACAGTGACATCAGAGAGATCCTGCCCACGCACTTCCTTCTTCAGGTAGGAAGCCGCGGGGAGCTTGGAAGAGTCCTTCCATAGGGGATGCTAAGGCCCTGGGAGCCAAGGAGCCACCTCAAGAAGCCATGGCTTGTTGCAGGGCGCTGGACACCCTCCATACCTTGGCACAGTGCCCACACTCAGACTGCGTGGGATGCCACGCTCGGACTGAGGCACGGCACAACCCCTTGGCAAGGCTGGCAGAGAAGGGCCGCTGGTCTGGGCAGGGGCCGCTGGCTGCCCCCTTGGCACCCTGCGCAAGCCCTGCAGCTGGGACGGGCGTCCTTGGCTCTGCTTCCTCGAGAGAAAGCTGCTGAAGGGGCCCTCCCTGGCCTCCCCCACCTCACTGGCAAGTCAGGTTTGCCTGTGGGGGGCACAGGCAATTCAGCCTGTCAAGGCCATGTGCATGCGGGCCAGCGGGCAGAAGCCCCTGCTTGACTCCTGCTCATAACTTGGGGGGGGGGGCATTCGACCTGTCGGCGCCCAGCCTGGTGTGATGCCGCCAAGCGAAATCAGCCCTCTGCACTTTGCAGATCGGGTTGTGGGTAGGCGGGTGGCAGCAGAGGGGCAGGAGGGGGCAGAAGGCTGCTGAGCAGTGGGGCGGGAAGGGGCCACATGCTGGGCTGCAGGGCCTGGCGTGGGGCCACCGGGCACTGCCTCTCCCCTCTTCCCAGCTGTCTCACCTCGCACATAGAATCAAAAATTTCTAAATGGCCTTAATAGCCTCTAATGGTTCTGCAAACCACAAAACCGACTGCGTAATTAACACAGAACTTGAAATCCGCTGCCGAATACGGCTGGCTTGAGGGGGTTTGAATTTTGAAGATGTTTGCGACCTTTGGATGGAAAGCTTTGGGGGAAAAATGCACCTGGTCTTCCATTGAAGCTCACAGTGCTGGCTGTGACCGGTTTGTCCCCACAGGAGGATGCTTTGGAGATTTTCTTCAGAAATGGCTACTCCGTATTCCTTGTATTTTTCAACAGCGACAGGGCAAGAATCCTGAAAAGGTACGTCCCCGGAGTGCATGCATCTCAGGGTTCTTTTCTGCACTCAGTTTCCTCCCACTCCACCTGGTGCCAAGCGCCCTTTCCCAGTTGCTATGGGCACCGACGTCTTTCTAGCACTTCTCCGTCATTTCAGGGGATGGGAAGTATTGTCTGCTCTGCTGGCTCCTTCCCAAGCTTGCCTGGGATGTTCCATCCTAGGGGACCAGATTCAGACTAGAATCCACTGTGTCCTTTGGGCTTGGAAATAATGTGATATGCAATACATACAAGATAAAGCCATGTTGCAAAGGAGGGCTTGTCCTTGCCATGTACCACCAGGTTGCCTCAGAATTACTGCAACCGGATGAATGAATGGTCTCCAAACTGGACCTCTTGCCCCCACCCTGAGCTCCAGGGCTTTCCCAAATATTCGCTTCCCCCCCTCCCCCCAGCACCCAATTTTGTGAAGGGATATAGGAGAACTTTGTTTTTGTTCACAAAGTGTGCACTGACTCGGGGCAAGTGCACGTCCATTGAAAGTAGTCAGACGTTGTCGGACGGGTGTGTCAGGTGCACAAGGGCCCTTTAGAATGGAAGTTCCAAAGGAACAATCCATTGTAATCCACTTGCAGCCACGAATAAGCCATTTTGTCTCTGTATTTTCTTATGTTCTGTTCAGATTTTCTTCTTCAATGAAGCCCGTTCTGAAATCAAAAAGCATCACTGATGAATCCATTAATATAAGGTAATAATTTGTTTTGAACATAATTAATTGATTGCATTGCCCCTTTGGTTCTCTTTGAACACTTCCTGAGGATTTTCTGCGATAGTTAAGATAATAATAGCAAGAGTAACAAGGAACTGTGCATTTTCTTGAGTGGAGTCCAGGGCAAACTCTGCCTTGCCAGGTCCATCACCTGTCAATTTCAGCCCCACCTCAGGAGCTGGCTTGCCATTCCCCGGGTGTCTCCAGCCACCTGCTGAGGTGTGACCCGTGGTTACCTGAGGAGGAGGCCACTGGGGGAATCACATGCCTGCACCAGTTTCCCCCAGTATATTGACTGGGACTCAGTAGTCCAGCTAGGAATTCCTCAGATGTTGCTCTTCTTCAGATGTTCTGCTGCCTTAACATAGCCTAAACGTAACAAAATACACATATGATTGTGCTCCACTCACGTAACCTCCTCCAGTGCAGGGGCAAATGGGCGTCACACCTGTGCTGTCCAATGATCGCAGCACACCTGGAGGGATGGCCCGCTGGGCAAAGTGGTGCCGAGCATCCCGCCCCTGGAATCTTGGATGTTGTTGAAATGCACTGTACTGCCGCTGAACCCGAGTGCTACCTTGTGGTGGGTTAATTGACTTTAGAGGGGGAGCAGAGAAATATAAAACCGGAGAGGGAAGGACATGTAAAGGGTGCCATTTTTTTCCTGCAAGAAAAGCTGATGGAGAAAGTGCAATGAAAGAGTGGATTAAGCCCCTCATGTAGAGGTCTCTAAGAATGTCTCCATTTCCAGTATTCTTGCTGCTTAAGTGGAACATTTAAAAAATCCTTCAAATCGTGGCTTTTAATATAAACACACAAAGCAAGTCTCACGTCCAATACTTTTCCTAACCAAGACTTTCATTTACTATGTGCCTGTTAAGAGAGTCAGGTGAGAGAAATTCGTATCGCTGTGAACATGCCAGGCCTGTGACATGTTCTTAAACTTGCAAGGGAATATTAGAGCAATTTGTTCAGCCATGTCCTTTGTTCTGCCACTCTTGTGTAAATACAGTTTCAGTGGGCATATATTCTACAATCGCCATTCTATAACTATTTTCTTAAGCAGGGGTGAGTGGAATCCCTGAGACCTGCTCCAACCAAGCACCATTCTGTGGTTTTCAGGCATCTTATTAGAAGGAAAACCACTTTTGTTCTTGATATCCAGCGCTTTATTGACTATGAATATATTGATCAAATATGGCTGCAGATCAGTAATAAGAAAGGAAGGCAAGGCTTCCACCAGATCCCTTTAGACTGCAGGGGTATCTGCACAACGGACACCCTCCCGGGGGCACGGGGGCCCCTGGACACATGTGCGCTCCGGGTTCCAGGGGAATGGCTGATTCCATCTAGCCATGTGGCGGGTTTTATAGCCAGGAGCAATCTGCCTCCTGAAAAGCGGAGTGGAGGGAGGAGGGGGGACTGGGAGAGCACTCAGTCGCCTGGGTGCATCCTCGTCGAAGGAGCGTGGCATATGCAGCCCGCCATTCTCAGAGCCTGGGACACATTTATCGGGGGGACCTTGCCAGGCTGGAGGGTTTCTCATGGGAACACAGAGCAGAAGGCCACCTCGTTGCCTGCTGCTAATTTGGAGGATTGTGCTGGACACTGTTGACCATTCCCCCAAGCCCCTTTCGCAATGTCTGCTGGTCCATCCCAACTGAAACAACCCACTCTCTGTAGCTACTTCAGCCAGTGTGGAGCGTGTGGCCAGAACACTCAGCTTAGAAAACTTGGGTTGCAGCAGCTGGGCAGGCTGACCCTGGGCAAAGCACGGCAGTCTTTCCTAGGTAGCTGGGGGTTTGGCCAGTGATTGAAGGCTGTCCTTTCAGCAACCACTTCCGAGAGGATCGATCCCCATTGTATGGCAGGGCAGGAGGGTTCGGGTGCAGCGCTCGCTTGCCTGGGACCCCCGTGTCCCCGTGTCTGGATGTTACAGTGGCGCTTTCCTGAATGCGGTGCGTAAGTGCAAGAACATGCAGGGCTTACCTGGGAAAAGGCAGTGGGGAGTCAGCACGCAGCCCTTCTCAAACTGGCTGCACGTGTGTTGCCATGATACAGCATGCATCTCCTCTGCCAGATTTGGGGATTTTGCAAATGAGATGCTTGCTGGAGGAAGCAAGCCCTTTTCTTGCTATCCAATCTTGGCAGACCCTGATAGGGTCCGGCCAGCTCTGCCAGGGGGAGCGCTTCATGGAAGCAACGCACAAATGGGAAGGAGCGTTTGCATAATCAGAACCAGGTATTCCCAGGCTTTGGCTGGCCTGGGAAGCCAAGTAAAACACTGGGATGGACAGGAATCCCCCTCTGCCTGTCTGCGACCTTGCACCGCACCTCTGCTTCTTCTGTTGCTACCCCACTGCTGTTCCTGCAAGGATCCCAAGGTAGCTTGCACAGGGTCACGGTTAGGGTTGCAAAGGCCTTCCGCTCCATTTTCATTCACACCAAAAACCGGTGAAGTAGGTTAGGCTAAAAGTAGTGGCTGGCTCAAGGTTGCAGGGTGGGCTCCATGGCCAAGTGGACACTGATCTCCCTGGATCTCCCTTAGAACCTTGATCTCCTGAGTTGCAGCCCAGCGGTCCCACCATCCCACCACACTGGCTGGGAGCAGTCCTCTAAGTCCTGGTATGAGCAGTGGCTGTGGTGCTGAGTGGGCAATCCCTCTTGAGCGCCTCTGCCTCCTAGCCCTCGGGCAACTGCTCCCTGCATTGTGCCCGGCAGCTATATGGAGGACGAAGCTGGAGCCTGATCTGGCCCCGGGGGAGCCCACTCCCTGGCTGCCCTCTCCGCCCAGCTGCAGCTCACCAGTTGCCAGCATCCCTTTCAAGAGAGACACATGATGGGCGCCCCTAAACGGCCTATGCTCCCTGGGGCTCTTCTCTGAGCAGGAGAGGGAGCAGTGACCCCCTCCCCATTGGTGGTGCTGCCCTTCCGAAGCCCACAGCAGCTGCGGTGAGGGGCCCGGTCTTCCCCATCGTGGTGAGTGGTGGCTGGCAAACCGGGGCTCAGGAGGCAGAATCGTGCAGTGCCGCACTTGGGACCCTGATGGAGCAGAATGCATTGAACGAGGCAGGACATGGTTACTGAGCCGCTTTATTGCAGGAAGGGCTGGACGGCGCGCTCTGCCTCTGCCCCTCTGCCCATCCAGCATCCCTGGATGGCGGCTGTGGCCCATTTACCTCCAGTCTGGTTGGTTCTCCTTGGCCAGAGAATTGGGAGCCATGAGATTCGAAAAGTTTTGCTTCTTGGAAGGGACTGGCACCGCATTCTTGAGCTTGTTCAGCTTGTCCCTCTCCTCTTGGCATTTCCTCAAGCAGGGGAAGCACAGGTCCTTCTCCTCCACCAAGTAGAGCGTCTCCAGGCGCTTGATGCTGTCAATATAGAGCTCCTCCTCCGTGGGGCCCGGGAAGGGGTTTCTTTTCGTATTCAGCTTCTTGAGCTTCGGGAGCTTCGCCACGCTGTTGGGGATGGTGGTCAGCAAATTGTCAAACACCCCAACCTCCTGGAGCTCCTTCAGTGCCCCCAGCGTGGTCGGAAGGTTGTCGATGTGGTTCAGGCCGAGGTTGAGGTTGCGCAGGTTCTTGAGCTGGCTGAGCTCCATGGGCAAGCTCCGTGCCGTCAGCTTGTTGTTGCAGAGATTCAGGAAGACGAGGTTCTGCAGGTTTCCCATGCTCTCCGGCAGCCTGTCGATCTGGTTGCTGTGCAGGTCCAGCCAGCGCAGGTTCTGGAACTTGTCAATGGAGTCCGGGATCTTCTTGAGCATGTTCCTGCTGAGGTCCAGCTCATCCACGTCGTCCAGCTTGAGGATGCACTTGGGGAAGGTGGCGATGCCCATCTTGCTCAGGTCAAGTCGGTGCTTCCCATCAAACGTGACCTTGATGCAGTTCTTGGCTACTTTCAGGGTGATTTTTTTCCCTTTGGGGCCTTTGGCTCCCTTGGCCATTTCCAGTGAAAAGAAGGCAGCTCAGGGTTAGGCCAATGCGTGGAAATGAGCCCGAGGAAGGAGTCCCGGTGAGACGTGTTGCTGGCTAGTGCTGAACCTTAATTAGAAACACAGACACATGAGCAAGCTAAATCCAAGCAGGTCACCTTTTCCACAGACTGGCTTTCCACATTGAAGTGCTGCTAATAACAGCTGCAAAGGGTTGGACTTGATGCCTGCTTGGCCTCTCCCCACTCTCCTGTTCTATGAAATGCATGACCAGTGCGCCAAGGCCTGCCTACCCCTTCCATGCTGACCAAACCGGAGAACTCTCCATCCACACGTCAGGACCTGCTGCAGTGGCGTGACCCATGCGCGTGATACTGTAGGATGACTGGCAATATCTGCCACTTCCCACCTGATACCTTCCCTGTAGGGATATATTCCAGCAACTATACACAGTTCTCCCTCCAGGGACCCCCACGGGTGTCTGCACTGTTTCCTCTCTCATGCAGAGCACTGCGTAGGGAAAGGTACCGCCAGTTGCCACTATCCCTCACTTCCAAGGCACATCCTACCTACAGAGTGGGCCCATCCCGGGTGGTTCAGAGGTCTGGATGATTCTGAGAAGGAGGCGGAGGAGCAAGCATGGGGAGAACTTTGACATTTTGGGGTTCCCTAAGGAAGCCTCTCAGGCAGGGGGCCAGAGGTGGCCAGCTCTGGAAGGGTTTTCAGGAGCACATGTGAGACCCAGACTGTCACCCAATGAGGAGGTGATGGGAGCCAGGAGTGGCCCAATTAGAGGGTCTTTGGCGTTCCCGCCATTTTGCCTTCAAGCAACAAGGCCTTGGACCGCAAGGCGATCAAACTGGTCAGTCTTAGAGGATATCAACCCTGACTGCTCTTTAGAAGGCCAGATGCTGAAGATGAAACTCAAATACTCTGGCCACCTAATGAGAAGGAAGGACTCCCTGGAGAAGAGCCTGATGCTGGGAACAATAGATGCCAAAAGAAGAAGGGGACGGCAGAGGATGAGGTGGCTGGATGGAGTCACTGAGGCAGTCGAAGTGAGCTTGGGTGGACTCCGGGGGATGGTGGAGGACAGGAAGGCCTGGAGGAGTGTTGTCCATGGGGTCGCGATGGGTCGGACACGACTTCGCGACTAACAACAACAACAAAACAAGGCCTTGCTGAGGATGGAGAGAGAAGCTTCTGCATTGCATTACTGAAAGGGAGAGATGGCAAGGATGTTCCCAGTTTGGATTCAACTCTTTACCTGGGCAGGTGCTTCTCCCTCAGCTTTGGTAGGAGGCTATTTAGATTTCAAACTGTCCTGTAATCTGTTAAGTTTTGACAACAGAATTGCATTTCAAAGGACTGTCCTGAGTTTGATAACTGGAAGGGAAGGGCCAGGACATGACAGGACAAGACCCAAAGCCGCAGCCGCAAGTTTGCAAGTGCTGAGCAGGACTGGGGCATTTTAGAGGGTCTTCCTCAATGGGCGGCCGTCAGCTAGAGATGCCTTAGTGGCACAGAACAACAATGGCACCCAAAGCTGGCCAAACTATTTTGGCGCCTGTAACGAAATATGGGACTGCCTCTACTTCCCTCCTGGCAGTCAAGCCATAGCAGGAAGAAGCTGAATGGCTGAAAACTTGCTACTTTTTAAGGACATCCAAAATAAGATGCAGAGCCAGCCATTCTCGGCATCCAGAAAAGCTTCTCTAACTTAATTCTGCAGCTGTCCTGGTTACTAAATGCGAAGGAACAAGGCCAGTCCAAACGGTAGCACTCGGCAGTCCGATGGCTTCAAGCCACGATCCTCACTTTTACTGAGTAGGACATAAACTCGGGCTGCCCCAGCACAGTAACTCAGAAATCAGGTACCCAGCAACACCCAGGGGTTTTTACTCCCAGGTGACTGCATTGCCAGGAAGTGAGTTTGGGAGGGCAGATTCCCTGGAAAGGGAAATGGGTCATGCTCATTTCAGGACCTGCCCCATCCTCAGGAACGAGTCTCTTGGACGCATAGCTACTCTTGGTGCCAGAGAGCACCAGCTGCTTGCCTGTGAAAGCGGGTGCTTCTGCATCCCTCCCCATCCCTTCCTCGTGGGAAAAGGAAAGGGGAAGGACCAGAGGCGGAGGGCGTGTTCAGGGGAAAGCTGTGCTCTGCATGGAACCGGGACTTGCTTGAAGACTGCCGCCTGAGTCTGAATAGAAATGGAGCGAGTCAGGAGGGGCCTCCCGGGCCATCTAGTCTGACCCCCGGCTCCAGCCGGCTCCGCTCACGACATGCCCACCATGTGCGTGTCCAGCCTGTCCTTGAACACCCTCCCCGATGGGGCCTCCACCACCTCCCGAGGATGCTCATTCCGTGCCCCAGGGGTCCTGACTGTCAGGAAGTGCTTCCTGGCATCCACCCTAAATCTTGGTTTCCTGAGCTTTGCTCCACTGGAATGTGTCCTGCCCTCCATTGCAGGGGGAAAACGGTCATGACCCACCTCTGTGTGGAACCTCCTCATGTACCTGCATGTCGCTAACAGGTCCCCTCTGAGTCTCCTCCTCTCCAGGCTGAAAAGACCCGGCTCCCTCAGTCTTTCCTAATATGGCTTCCCCTGCAAACCAGTCCATCCTAGTGGCCCTTCGCTGCACCGATTCCCACCTGGCTATATCCCTCTTGCAACGAACACAAGGCTCCAGAGTCATATAGAGTGGCAGTCATAGCTCTCTCTCTGGATGACAGAGTCCAGCCATGCTATGGGGGTAGGCAAGTAGGCCAGCAAATGTGTTTGCATCTTCCCCTTCCTCCTCACATCACGCAGCTGAAGTGGGGACCACGATGCTGGAGCAGCCACAGAGAACTAGGCCTGGCCACGTGTGCGGGAGTTTCTCTTGGAGCTGACGGAAGGGTTGCGAAGCTGGACGGGCCACGGGTGCCACTGAAGAGACTTTGGTCCATGAGAAATGCGGCACACGGGGCACTGGGCACCCCTCCAGCAGTGCTGGCGGGGGCAGAGTCCGTGGGGGGGCCGTGCAAGTGCTGGAGCTGTGTGTGGCGGGGGGGAGGTGGGCAGTGGTAGGAGCAGTGGGGGGGTGGGTGGCTAAGACCAGTGGGGCAGTGTCTGGGGGAACCGCAGTGTGGCCACTGCCTGGGAGTGGGCAGCTGGCAGTGGGAAGTGACCCCGAATCCTGACCCACGAAGACTCTACGAGACGCCCCATGCGGCAAATTATTGGCCAGCGTGCAGCAAATCTTCACAGCCTCAGACAATAAGGCAGCAGCTAAGATAATTATTGCTCTTTGCAAGGCTGAAATGAATTGAAACATTTCATATCTGAAATGTGTAAGTTAGACCGACGTTCTAATTATTCATCATTTCCCTGGCGATACCTAGGGAAACCCTCATTTTAGCATATCCAGCATCACACATGTTTATACAGAACAGCTGTGATTGAAAACAGAAAGCAACATGGCCCTCGGTGAGTTCCTTAGCGGAGCGGAGCATTTCTGCACAATGGGATATCTCTCTTTCCAACCAGAAACTGATAGAAAAAGCTTATGTGCGTGTGCATACCGTGGGAGCTTTCAGATCAAAATAGTGGAATTGTAGAGGAGAGAAAAGGGGGAAAACGAAAGGTGAAGCAGAGGGTATCTGTGCCCTCCTAGAGAAAGTCTCCGCCTGAATCACAGCTGAAGAACCAGTCTGGCAGCTCTCAGACTCAAGGCCTATGATAGACGTGACGTCAAGAAATGCACCTAAGGAGGATTTATTGTGAAAAGCAAGCAACAGCCGCTGGAGGAATGAGGACTGCGAGCGATCATGGTCGCAATAGGTGCATGGACGGGGGATCTAATGAGCCCCTTTCTTCTTCGCTGTGGCATTTGTAGAGTATTTCCACCCAATGCAAGTAGCAGCTTCAAAGGAACAATCTCTGAGAGGACAACAGGGGAGGAAAGCGTGATCCCTCCCCCCCCCCCCCCCTTGTCGTGATTCCAATAATCACACCCGCCCCACCTGTTACTGGCTTTCTAAAATGCCACAGCAACTTGCTGACTTTGACCCCAGGCAGTGGCTCAGACCTGGGCAGGACTCCTTTCTGCAACAGATAATCTAAAGTGGGTAAACTGCAGCAGGGTGCAATATTTGCTGGAAATAAGTTTGCGGCAATTTTTGGAGTTGCTGGGGAGCAGAGGAGAGCAAACGCTCCAATCGGCTGAGCCCCGGCTGATCCAGAAGCTCCAGCATTTAATTGTGGAGAGTCAGATCACTGTTTTGATGAATGATTGTTTGGAAATGAATATGGAATTGTCTACAACACGTTTCTCCATTAGAAAGGTTTCATTACAAGCCCTTCAGGCTTTTTGACTACTCATTAATCATGTGCAAGTACATGAATGTGGAGATCAGATGGAAGATAATGCATTTCCGTTCATTTCAAAAACATTCTGTTGCTCTTGACAATGCAGAGTGGAGGGTTTGTGCCAAGTCCCCGCCTGCACCCCGGGGCTGAGCTTCATCCAAAATGAAATGGTGGGGAAGGATGCAGGCGATGGAGGCCGACCAAAGATCTCACTCAGGATAGAAGACGGAGCTCTCTGGCTGTTCCTCAGACCATAATCTGAGATGAGGCTTCCAAAATCTTTTTTCTTTTACGATTGCACTCCTGGAAAACAGCATTCACTGCTGTCGTGATCTTTCTTCCCCTTTCCTAGATAGTCAAAGCCAGCAAGATGACCAAGGAGGCAGCGCAAATGCTGGTCCAGAAACCTGGGAAGGGCCTTCAGTGAAATCCGTTTTTGCTTGCCCAAGAGCCACCTCGTTGCTGCTTCAGGGTTCAAACTAGAATCAGATTCCCAAAGAAAATCTGAAATAATTTAAGACGCTTAATACAAATTAGCAGGATCGTTTATAGTCTAGGTGTTAGCACTAAAAACGATGGAACAGTGTTGCAAATGGCTTGAGAAGGTGCATTAGAAGGCAAACAGACATTTTCCTGGTGGAACTGGCCCTGTAAATAGCA